GAATTGGAAGTCACAGCCTAGAATTGGAAAAGATCAGTGTGCTTGGTGCAAGGAGACTGGTCATTGAAAGAAAGACTGCCCAAAGCTCGACGAATGGATGAAGAATAAGCAGAAGGGAAAAGGAAAGCAACCATCATCAAAAGTAAACATCGTATCGGATGGTAATATTTCTGACTCTTCTATTTATTCGCTATCTATCAGTCCTATATGTAGCTATTCGGAGGAATCCGAGTGGATGTTAGATAGTGGTGCGACCTATCATGTGTGCCCTAGAAAGGAATAGTTCTCCAGTTTTGGGAAGCTGGATAGTGGTGTGGTGTACATGGCTGATAACCGTGCATGCCAGATCTGTGGGATAGGAAGAATTCACATAAAATTATTTGACGGGACTGTTAGGGAGTTGAATGATGTGAGATATGTTCCTTCTTTGAGAAAGAACTTGATCTCGATTGGAGATTTCGTTAGAGAGGATCTGAATGTTTGAATTGAGGATATGGTTCTCAAGATTGTGGAAGACTCTCGGATTGTGATGAAGGGTGTCAGGAGGAATAACCTGTATTACTTGACTGGAGGTATAGTGGCAGGTGGAGAACTGACGACTTCTATTGATTCGACTAGACTGTGGTATTTGGGGCTTGGCCATTCCAGTAATGATTCCTCGCATAGATTGAAAGATGGTGCGAAGACCTACAGTTTGAAGTCCAGTGAACATGTTGATGTGAGCAAGAAGACCGAGGTAAAGTGTGGCACCTCTATTCACCGTGCTAAGGGTCGTTCTGGAGGAGTTCACGTGGATGTTTGGGGGCCTTCCAAGGGGGCATCATTGGGAGGTAATAGGCGTTTGGTTTTCTTTGTTGGTGGCTGTTCTAGGCGTGTTTGGGTTGCAACCAAATCCCCTTTGGAGAAAGTCCTAGTAGTATCCAACAGATTGAAGAAGTGTGTGATAGACAGAAAGGTGAAGGTACTCTATTCTGGTTTTAATGGGAGGTACAAGATGGACCTGTTTCTGCATTGGAGCCGAGCTCACGGCATTTCGAGACACTTCGTTGGAAAGGAAATCTTGGGGCAACTAGATAGGGTGACAAATTTGGAAGACCATACCTTGCTGAAGGAGGATCGGTGTTTATGGTCGAGCAATGGTTTGCAGAAGAGGTTCTGGACTGAGGCTTCGACATATTTGAGTCATCCTATTAAAGAGTTGTCAACTGCTGTGATTGGAGGTAAAACTCTATTGGAAGATAGGTCTGATTGTGACATTTTGTGGCTCTCAGCAGGTGGAGAGTTTTGGACAGACCTTAGATGTATCGCAGCGGGTGGAGAAGGATGCTACTCCACATGGGGTGAAGATTACTCCAGATCATACTGCATTATTTGGGATTCCAGCTGAGGTGACACAGTTAAGGGATCAATTTGTTTTGGATGCAGATGATGAGTTGAGTTTTGATTCGAGTGCAGCTGATAGATGTAGTTTGGATAAGACCATTGGTTCACTTCAGGTGGAGATGTTTGAGGTCATTGGAGGTGCTATCAGTCACAGAGTTGATGATATTGGAGAAGGGTTGCGAACTCTTCTATTGGATTGAGGTCGTTCGTGACCATTTGGGTGAACTACGTTCGGCTTGATTCCTTGGGCAAGAGGATACGTAGACAGTCTTATGATGCAGCCGGGTTGGATTTTGATGGGGGTGAGATCGATTTGGTGAGTTGATACCGACATTTGGAGAGTGTTCGCATTCTCATTTGGGTTCTCGTCTTGTTGTGGATTGAGTCTGTTGTCGTGAATTATTTCACTTCGTACTAGACGCAACAAGTGAGATATTTAGTTTGGTTGGTGTCGGCTCAGTTTTGAGAAAACTTCGTCGAGGTGGAAATTTGTGAAGCATGTGCTTGTGGGGGGGCCATGAAGTCAGCAACGACGCGTGAAAAGATGCCTTGAAGAGAAGTCCAGCGGGCCACGATGTTGAGCAGCTAAAGACACATTTTCTCATGTTCTCGTGGGGGCCACGTGAAGAGATGTTTACGCTGCGTGAAGAGATAGGTGTGAATAAACGAAGTGGGGGCCACGAATAATTCGTGAAGAAGTCTTGTGATCACGAGACAGTTTCTCCGCTACAGGCTATATATAGGAACTAGCACTGTTCCTAGGGTTTGGTGCGAAGGCGTGTAACAGGGGAGCGGCGAAAGAGAGAAAAAAAAGAGGCGGCTGCAGAAGTTTTGTGCAGAGACAGAAGCTTGGACTGCGTGCAAAAGAAGAGAAAATTGCAGAAAGTACAAGGCTACATGCAGAGGAGAAAAAAATCTTTTTGGCGGTTGTGCTTTTGTAGAGAGATATTGTAAGGGATTTGAGAGTTTATTTGAGGGTTTAGATTGTGAGAGTTGTAAACCCATTTGTATTCTTTTTCTTTGGTTTAGATTGTGAGAGTTGTAAACCCATTTGTATTCTTTTTCTTTCTAATAGTAGATCTCCCCCTCCTTGCCCCGTGGACGTAGGCAGTTTGCCGAACCACGTAAAATTGGTTTGTTTGTGTTTGTGACCATTATAATAGTTTTTAGGATCCCTCGACAAGTCAGTCCTAGAACTGACGAGAGGAAGAGCCGATATCTCACCTTGTTGAGATATTCGCTTCAGATTCTTGTTTCCTTGGTGAGACGAGAATTCTTATTGCGATCTTTCTCTTATTGTGCACCAGAAACACTGTCGAAATTTCCGCTGCGCACAACATCAGCCAACTTGCTGAAACTGGGTCGCTTTTGCCAAATAAGTTTCAAACATTAGTTGTTTTTTACAATTATTTTTGGAAATGGGTTGCTTTTCAAAATTTGTTTGTATCAAAACATGGTAGGATCCAACTGCATGCCCACACGTGTCTCTACACCCAAGGAACTTCAACCAAAGAAATCATAATCGCGGTTTTTGCATTTACATAACAGAAATCATAACGGCTCAGCGTTGGCTCCCCCTTCAAAGAGTTCAATTCATCCTCAGTTTTGTCATCTCCGTAGACCGAGAAATTCTTTGACTCAGTTCGCATGCACATATTTGTGTACCATTTTTAGTTCTTCGATTAGCCCAGACAGCAAACTTGATTTTTTTTCTCGAAGCTCGTCGATAGAATAGGGAAATGTTAGCGCAAGGGTACACAGCACAATATAATTGTGACTCAAATGATCCTCTTATCATATGTTTCTTTCTAAAAAGTAATAAAAGTTGAATAAGGCCACACTTAACATTAACATAACAGTTGCACTATATAATTCCATTAAATTTTGCAATAAAAACTCACCATATTATCAGCAATTCAGCAAATAGACCCCTATGAACTCACAGTCCAGTCACCATGCTACAATCAGTTCAGCAAATAGTACCTACAGAAGACTCATTTGCAAAACATAGCTCTCCAAATTATTTTTTGATATATTTTTAAAAAGTATTTCTCAAGTCCTGCAGCCCCTTAGTAAAATATTCTCCAATGCCATCTTCTGAGTATCTCACACAGTTGATTTCAATTTTCAGCCAATATGATGACAAATACTTCTTCAACCTTTTCTAAAATATCATTATTATCTTCCTCTTTTCTTCTCTTAGGATGGAGAATCTGCGGTCCTAGCTCATGGCTTTGTCTTCATCAATGATGCATTTTATTTTGATGGCGCAGTTGGGATTCTGTAGGCTTGCGCATTTTCCATTCAACATTAGCAGCAAGAGTACTACTTAGGGGTCAATCAAACTTAAACAGTCCTATCTTTATATAAAACAAGTCAGGAACAAAAGAAGGAAAATGATAAGCGTACTACAAGAATTGTATGCTCCTATAACTCTACTACACACGGAAAAATGATGTCCATAAACTCTTTTCAATTTACAAGAAAGATTTTCACTTTTTTGTGTGTAATAGTATAGGAATAGTATAATTTTTATAGTATTACTCATAAAAAAAATACATCACATTTAGAAAAAGTAGACCAAGAATCTTCCACCACTGCTACGAAGAGAGAAACATCTCATGAGCAATTTAATATTTTCAGGATGGAGGCATTTTGTAGTTCTTTATTCTTTATAGTTACTTTTATTTTTCTTCATGATCTTGGGGAGGATGTTTAAAAAAAACAAATTATGCAATGACTGTGGACTTTGAAATATGGAGATTCCTAATTTCAATAAGCAGACAAAATTTTGATGCATTGAGTCAATCAGGGGCATCATCACGTTCACATTCTAAGGTCCAAAAGTCATCGTGAGGTTCAGGTATTAAAAAAAAAAAAAAGCTCAAACTGAATGTATAGAATGTAACAGCATATTGATAAGGACTTAGATCACAGTCATAAGATGATAAGAAATTTAACACAATGGACACTTCACATCCTTATCCAGTTAATTGAATGCATACAATTGGATTCTCAAGTAAACAAACGGTGAATATCCTTAACGATTATGGCGACTCATCATTTAAAACGAAGAGGGTATTGGAATTGGTCAAGTACATTAGGTACATGTTTAAGTTCCTGGGTAAGCTCCCAAAAATTAGGTTTTGTATATCAGAACAAGTAAGCAGAATAGAAACATGTTATTGAAACCCAACAGACTGTAAAACGTAACGGAATTCACCTCTCTGTCGACAGAAGGAATAAGAAATACTTCAAGAAAACAATTGCAAATAGACTATTGAGGATTAATGAGATAACATCTAGCAAAACAATTGCAAATAGAATACTGAGGATTTATCTGAACTTACAGCATTTTTTAGGCTGAAGGGCCCTTCCCATTTGTACTGCTCCGTCTTTATCCTGATAACTCAAGAAATACTCTCAGCAATCAGGAAGTATAATAAGATCAAAGATCAGAGACAATCAGAGCTAGTTCAAACTGTAGAAACGAATCAAAGCCGTATCCTTGAGTTAAGAGTAGAAACAACCTCAGTAAGGGACAGAACCGGTAGAGAGAAGCATACATACACGCACAAATAATTCAAAGAATAAGTGCTCAAAGTAGCAGTGGCAGATAACGCAAATGAATTCACTTTTTCTGTTGACCATTTCAATGATACAGATAAAAAATTATCTGAGTACATATATACACACAAACAGAGCTTCGAACATAAGTCAGCTACCATCAAATAAGACATCAGGCTTCGCCCTGTTATCAGGAAATCAATAAAATATTCCTCCTCTTCATATAGCAAAAATTGGATTAATGTCAGAATCAGATAGCTCAGAGTTATAACGCAAAGAGCTCGACCCACTCCTCTTAGATGACTTTGCCCTCTTTCTTATCCTACGAATTCGCTTAGATTTCACGACATAATATGTCATACTTCCAAGAACCCCAGCCATAATAAGTCCTCCTATCAATGTAACAAATATAGCTGCCCATTCAAAGTGACGGCCTACCACAATATATGAGGATGCAATAAAAGCCACAGTGGTGCAAACTGAAGCCAACCACATTAGCTTGTTTATCACCTCTACAACTTTCCTCTCTGCTTTTGTTTCCCCACGAACAAGTGTTATTTGAACCACGACCACAGCCAGCGATGTGAAGAGTGCAATAGCATTGAATATGAAGAAAATCTTGAAGGAAGGAGTGTCGATAGAAACGGCAACCCCATTATCCTCGTAACCACCGGGCACCGTGAAAATTGCAGCAAATGCCACAGTGGCAAAGAGAGAAGCAACAACAGTTACAGAGTTAGTTGCGTTGTTGATACCTTCTCTATGAAGTTTTTTGAGCTCCTTGGCTATACCATAGACATTCTTGTTGGTTTTCCTTGTTTGTTCTAATTGAAAATGTACATCCTTCTTGATCTCTGTCACGGTCTTTCTCAGCTCGTCTCGAGGCTGGTTTAGGTCGTTGGCCTTGACAGCGCCAGCACGGTATAAAGATTCCTTAATCTCTTGAGATTCTTCGGAAAGGGGTAGGCTTTCTGCAATGTCATAAGCAGTCTTGTGGTCTCTTGTCAATGCATTCACGTGGGTATCTCGGAAGAGTAATAGAACATTCACAATCTGCACGCACAAAGAAAGAAGATATCTAATAAATTCTTACAGTAAATTGCAAAGATAGTGCCTTCTGCAAGTAACCAATTCAAACACATATTCGGATTCATGCTGTTAAAGTTGCACCAAAACTACAAAGTTATTGAAAGGATTGAGGGTTATAATTTTATAATTAACATGTCCTCGCAGATTCAGCATTCTTTTTATGGGTCGAAACCTGGACTTGTTTATGCAGCGGAATGCTTTTAAAAAAAACCCACTTTAAATGGGCGTCCTGTGAGAATTGAACATATTTTGCACTGACACCATGTTAAAATCTCTTCCACTGCACCAAAACTCAGAAGTTGTGGTGAGGGTTGAGGGTTAAAATCTAGCAGTAATAATACACATTAGAAGGCAATCTAGTTATGCATTTGACGCATACCAAACTAAAACATGTGAAGACTAATGAATGAAATTGCTAAAGAATACCTCCGCTCGCTTCTTCCTAGTGGCCACATGCAGTGCCGTGTTACCAAATTTATCTGGTAACGTAACAATCGCCGGATCAGCATCAACAAGAGCTCTAACTACACCAATGTTTGTTCCTTTCACTGCCATGTGCAAAGCAGTCTGGCCTTTTTTGTCTGTTCTTCTAGCAAGCTGTTGATCCTTTTCCAACAGTGCTTTCACAATATCAACATGCCCTTGCCGGGAACAAAAATGAAGGGCATTTTTCCCATTAGATTTGCATAGCTCAATCAAACTAGGATCGTGAGCGAGAAGCTCGTTTACTACATCAAGGTGACCTCTTGTTGCTGCAGATATAAGTGGAGTTGCATTCGATAAGCCTAAAGTCTTGCTAAGTGTCGGGTCGTGGTTCAAGAGTACCTGCACAATAGCTGTATGTAACTTTTCAGTACTAGACAATATCATATGGAAAAGTATGAATAATAATTCACTTCTCGGAATACACGAGAATAAATACTAACTTATTTTCTCCCAATTTACTAAAAAGTTATGCTTTGCACTAGTTCCTCAGTCTAAGTACCACCTGAGTGCCATGATGAACAATTATCTACTTGTTTAACTCTCAATTGAGGTAAAATATGGATGGTGCAAATTCGCATTGGCATGCAATTGGCTGCATGAGGAGCACTCTCTAAATTTCTCATGCCCCGAGATAAAACTATCTAATCTTTCATAGTTCAATCATTCACAACAAATTTCAAGAAAATTTCACTCCGCTAGCTATAGCAAGTGCTAATTCATATCAGAAAATCTACCATCGTACTTATAAAATTCAAAAGGAAACACAATCATGTTTGCAGATCAATAGCATCCTGAAAATGAAATATGCAAGGTAATCAATTAGTACAACTTCCTCATATTTTCAGCATGATTTTAATCATCCATGACCTGCAACTAGAGAATCCAAAAGGAAAACCTCCCATGGTTGTAAGTCAATAGCATGCAAGCAAGCAATCATCAAGCTCAAGATGAGATCAGGTATCAAAAACCTCCCCTTTTCCTTCTCACATCCAACAACAATATCAAATATCTCGACATAAATTCAATCACATAATTTATTTCCAAACCATTTTAGCAAACCAACAGCATACAATCAATCAATTAATCGAAGTTCTTTCTTTCATGAATACCTCGATGCCCCTCTCTCGCAGCCACATGCAACGAATCAAACCCCGACCCATTCCTCCTCGCCAAGCTCTCTCTATCCGTGTACCTCAACAACTCCACCACAATATCCAAATACCCCTTCTCCGCCGCAATGAACAGCGCAGTCGCCCCCATCTCATTCAACTCATTCACCATCGCCGACCTGATGGCCGCCACCTCCGCGTCAAACTCAACCCCGGTCCCCGTCATCTGAGCATCAACCTCCCCCAAAATCCCCCTAACAGCAGCGAGATCCCCCCTTTGCGCCGCCAAATGGAGCTCCGTGTCGTTGTGCCGGCCGGTGACCTGCTTCACGTACTTTTTCCTGCTGTTGGTGCCGGTTTGATCCATTCGCTTGCCGGAATTGGATAAAACCAGGGCAGGGGTCGAGTTGGCCGACGGCGACGGAGGCGGTAGCGGGGTATCGTGGCCCGTGTCGTGATCTTTATCAATTCCTGTCGAAACTAGAGGGGGAATGCAAAAGATCAGATTTTGATGGTGGGTTCGTGATGAATTGGGGAAACGAGATGCGTACCTCTTCTTAATCCGGCCCCTGATTTTGGGGTTGTGGGCAGAGAGGAGGCGCCTTTTGACCCCATTTTCGGGGGGAGGTGGGTTGAGACGAAACCCGAGACTGAATTAAACCCTGAATTGAATTAGAACCCTAAAGCGAATGCAATTAGGGTTAGGGTTTGGAAACTTGGGGGGTTTTATGACGGAGAAGAGGGTAGGAAGGGTGGTACATGTTGGGGGGCGTCGAGGAAGGAGGGACGAAGGAGACGGAAGAGAGGGGGAGTTTTTAAAAAAAAAATTAAAAGATTTTTTCCTTTTTTTAAAATTTCCTTTTTGTATCGTGGGCTCCGAAGAGATTTTGTATTGTCAGAATTTATTTCCACGTAGCTTTCTTAAACCAAAAGTGTAAATATTAATCCACACAGGTGGTCCGGTTGGTTGAGGAATTCCATTAGGGGCTGTTTGGTTGGTTTCCTAAAAACCAAGAATAGGAAATGAGAGCATGGAAATCTCCCATTTCCTATTCTCAACCATTTCCATTCCTAAAACTTACCATAACATTCAATAAAATATTATTTTATCATCCAACTCATCTAATAAAATATTATTTTATCATCCAACTCATCCAATAAAATATTACTTTTATCATCCAACATCTAATAAAAAATTATTTTTATCATCACATTTGGTTGGTTTCCTAAAAACCAAGAATAGGAAATGGGAGCATGGAAATCTCTCATTTTTTATTTTTAACCATTTACATCCCTAAAACTTACCCCAACATTCAATAAAATATTATTTTATCATCCAACTCATCTAATAAAATATTATTTTATCATCCAACTCATCTTATAAAATATTACTTTTATCATTCAATATCTAATAAAATATTATTTTTATCATCACATCATCCAACTCATCTCATCTCATATCATCTCATATTTAAAAATCAATCACATCATCCAATAATATGGTGACAACTCATCTCATCTCCTTAAACTTTCTTCTCCACCCATTTCCTCAAAAAAACTAGGAAATGTGTTTCCTTAAGTGTGGGTCACATCATCCAATAATATAATGACAACTTATCTCATCTCATTTCTTTTCTTAGTTTTAAGAATGAACCAAACACAAGAAAAAAATCTAAACAAGGAAAGTCTTTTCCTTTAAAGTATTTTCCTTATTTTTTTAGCCAACCAAACACAAGAAAAGAACCTCCAATAAGTTTTATTTAAAAATCACTCACATAATCCAATAATATGGTGACAACTCATCTCATCTCATTTCCTTTTTACTTTTAAGAAGTGAACCAAACACAAGAAATAGACCAATATTTAAGAAAACATTTCCTTTTCTTCCCATTTCTAATTTTTTTAGCGAACCAAACAGCCCTTATAATAACTGTCACGGTTTTGGATTCTAACTCCGAACCGAATTATTGCAAAAAAACATAAAAATTAAATGAATATATCAAACAAGAAAAAAAAATACATAGATAAAAAGCAGGTGTGAAAAAAAATATAGATTTGATCTTAGATATAGCACAAAAATAATATTAGTAATTTGGTCAATACACCTAACATACTAATATATCATGTGAATATGAACAATAAACTTTATTATAGAGATGAGCTTATGTCGACTTAAGTTAATAGGAGGCATTGTCCATCAAATTTTTTATCCGCTCATCTAGGTTTTAGATTTGTGTCGTCATGTGATGCACAAATCTCAAAAGACTCTTCATATCTTTCACGGATCTCAATACAACAGCAATGAGTAAAAAATTTGGTGGGTGGCTAGCTCCTATCCACTTAAGTTTACATAAGATTTTCTCCTTTAATATATTCATATGCGCTTATAATAATGCTTATATCATCCATGTAATTTTAATAATTGTATAAGGGGCTGTTTGGCTGGTTAAAAAAAATGAAATCTATTATGTGAAACATATTTCCTATAATAGGCTCTTTTCTTTTATTTGGTTCACCTTCTAAAAGTAAGAAAAGAGAAGAGAAGAGAAGAGTTGTCACACAATTTTAAAGAAACTCATTTCATGAATTTTTTTTAGAAAACAGATGAAAGACAAGTTTTAGTGATATCATTATCTTATTTTTTTTCTTCTTCTTCGTGTGAATAAGAGAAAAAACATTTTGATTTTGTATGAGACACTCCGCACAATAAAGTGTATCATGTGTCACACACCGCTTCTTTTGCTCCATGCATATTGTCTATTGAGTATAGATGCGAACAAAAAGTCAAAAGTCATTTGTGCTTTCATTTCCTTTTTAGTTGCTTCATCTTTAAATTTCTATGTTTAGGGACTCCATAGCTATTGGTCGGTTGTCTTCAAAGCAGTATTTTGTCCCGAATTTTGTTTTGTTTATTTTTATTGGCGTTGGGACTTTGTTGCCTTAGAAAAGTTGCTTCCATTTTTATTTGCCTTTGTTATTGTATTGCTCAGAAAATAATGTAGGAATTCATATTGCAAACTCCACAAAAATAAAAAAAATGTTCAGAGATAAATCAATGAGGTTTCTTTATAGGCAAACCATAAAAAAATAGTGTACTTCAAAGACACCGCATCAATATGGGTTGAAGCACAATCTTTTATTTATTTATTTATTATTGTTTATAACTCGACCTGAAATTGCACCCAAGAGAGCTATATTTGAACATTTCAACTGTTCCGATCGCCTTGCGACAGGTAAGCACAATCGCGGCGGGTAAGCATAATCTTTTAGCGTAACATGTGCGTATTAGCAAACATGACATCAAATATGATGAGATAATTAAAGTAAATGCATTTAGAGCCAATGTACTTCTTCGCAAAAATGGGAAATTATGTGTTTAATCTGTTAAATGTGCTTGTAACATCCCTTTGATATACATATTCATGAACACGCACGCAACATCATTTCCTTCTCAAATCTACAGTCACTTCACTATCACTCTCTAAGTGTCAGTTTAGGTCCGGTCTAGTTTTTTTTGCTAAAACTGGGATCATAACTTAGGTTGATTTTTTATTCATCTATCCCATTTTCTTTCGGAGTCGCAACCAAATTTTAATTCTCGAATACTGCACCCATATCAAACTATTTTATTTTAGTTTTTTTTATTTCCGGTCGCCAAAAAAAGACTTTAAATAGCTGAGCTTCGTTGGTGAGGCCTAGAAGGCCCAAATCCAAGACATGGGCAATCTACAGACTCAGCCCATGGATCATAAATAGTCTCTCCCCTAAAACCTCCCTCCTTTAAAACACGAAACCGAACCGTCTAAGTTTTGCTCTCATTCAGTTTCTATTAGGAAAATCGGGATGATTAATTGACGTTTTCCCCTTCTTTTATAAATAAAATAGATTAATAAGACATATAATAATAAAATGGTCGGTAGATTATTCATCAGGACACTAGTATTTTTAACACTGAAAAGTCATTCAACTGAAAATAAAAACACGTGACCTAATTCGGAAAAATATTCTCACTCACTCAGGTTCTCGTGAATTGAGTGCTCTGCTTGTTCTGCGAATCTTTTGGCTTTTTACTTTCTAATATGACGAGTGTGAACACCCTGCAAAGCACGGCGTATCATTTTTTTCCCGCTACAATAATTCGGTTTTAAATATTACAGTAATATTTTTTGAATTGTTACAATATTCCTGCTCTGTAACAATAATTTTTAAAAGTGCTACGCTATTCATGTGTGCTACAGTAATATTTTTAAAAAATATTACAGTGTTCTGTTTCCTGTATGCTACAATAATAATGCTACTGTAGCATTTACTATAATAAGGATAGTAAATCTTAGGTTCTCCAATTTGTATAGAGGAATAGATATCAACACCCCCCCTTAACTTAAAGTTG